TTAGGAATCACAACGGTAGGAGCTCCCACCAATCATGAGGATGGCTCAGAGCCAGACAGTGCTCAGCTCTGTGGTGCCTGGGGTCACCAGGAGTCAGGGGCTGGCATGACAGCAGCCAACAAGCAAGAGGAGGAGGAAGGGTTTGAATCCAGGTCTCTCTAACTCTCAGGTTCATGCCCGGAATTACTGTTGTCTTCTCTTTATAGTTTTGATTTTCTTTTTTAATTTTATTGTGTTTTCAGTGGAAGTTTACAAAGCAGAGTTAAGTTCCCATTCAACAATTCGTATGCCAAATTTTTGGTGATGGTGTTGAATTCTTCATAATGTATCAACATCCTCGTGATTTCCATTTAGGTTAGTCCATTTTCAGCAATCCAGTTTCCTTGCCCCGTATCTTCTCATCTTAATTGTAAAATAATTGCTGACCATTGGGTCTCATAAAGATGACATTGAGTTCTTCTTGGGCCCTACAGCCCCATCCCCACCTCCTCCCCCATGTTGTCTTGCTACCATCACCCCTTCACATGAAACAGTGCCAGTCATTTGGATAGGTAAAGTATTTACCCTGGAAAAGATGAAACATTTTGCCTTCGGAGCTTCTGAACTCAATCTTGAATACAACACACTCATGAGAAACGGCTAGATTTATAAGTAACCAGAGGGGCATGGTGAGATAGCGCTCACTGCCGCCTGCATTAAAAGGAAGCGGACTCGGGTTCAGGATGATAATGTGGTACAACCATTTACTTAAGAACTGGCTCCAATCTCACACATCATTAATTCCACCTCAGCTCAGGCCTTTATCTTGAGAAGCCCTTACTGGTCCCCAAAGCCATGAAGACCTGCTCTCCCAGGCTGGCAGGAAGTCGTTTTATGGGAGGGTAGAGGGTACTCAGTTTACACCAGCATGCTATATAAACACAGTCTTTTCTGAGAGGATTATTTGGAGCTGTGAACCAGGGCACTGACTTGTCATCAGGCCTAGTCATCCCTCCAGCCCACAGTGAATCAGAGAAGGAATTCATACTAATCCAGAACGGGCTGCTACTCTGTTGTTTTAGGCTGGAGAAAGAAAGAAAAAAACCATAGTAAAACCAGGCTGTTTGCTCACAACCTCCTTCCTCTAGAAAAAAGAAAAAATGTCTAACTTTACTACTCAGAATGTAATCCACTTACCCAGGTTATGTACAAATAACAAGTAAAAGCTAAAAGATTCAATCATAGAAACGAAAACATGTTAACCTGGGTCAGATAGGAAGAGGGAGGAGGCGCAGTTTGCCTCCTGAGTGACCACAACAACTCTTGATGCCCATGAGCTATGGGTCATCCCATCTCCTCTCAACAGCCCCTAAGATACGCACTGGACCACAAAGGCGATTCAAGCTGCAAGGCCAGCCATTCAAACTCACCAGCAACTCTGGAAACCCTGCCCAGGGTCCCTGTGAGTCAGAATCGACTCAACGGCACACATTAACAACGATGCCCGATTTCAGCTAACTGTGTGAAACGGGCACTGTTGTTAGCTACCAATGAGTTGTCTCCAACTTGTGGCCACCCCACATACAACAGAACAACACGTTGCCCAGTCCTGCACCATTTTCACAATGACTGCTGGGGCCACTGTGAATGCTGCATGCCTTCCAACCTAGGAGGCTATGTTGTGCTCTATACGGTTTTCATTGGCTGGTTTTCAGAAGTCGATAACCCGGCCTTTCTGCCCACTGTGTCTTAGTTTGGAAGTTCTGCTGAAACCTGCCCACCATGGGTGACCTTACTGGTATTTGAAATACTGCTGGCATAGCTTCCAGTATCATAGAAATATGCAAACCACAGTAGTGTGGCAAAATGACAGATGAGTCATGGGAAATGGGTAACACACTCGCGTGGTAGTAGAAGTGGTCAGGGAGAGGGAGAGGCTGGTCAGGTGGGAAATGAGACAAACTGGGGCAGAGAAGCACAATTCAAGCAGGAAGAAGGGAGACCATCGGAGTAGAAGACTTACATCCACTAATGCTGAAACACATTATTATTCAGAAGCAGTAGGACTGCAACCATTCTTAGATCTACACAGCTGGAGTCCTCCCTCCCTTTGAGCTTTGAAGTGTTCCCCTGGCCCTCCCTGACTGTACAGAGACATGCCTATTCAGACCTCACACTCCCCATTCTAGACCTATTCTGGAAACCTCAGCCTTGGAATTCCCTGCCTATATGACCCCAAGAGAAGACCAAGGTAGCTCACACATACTCCCAGATAAAATATAGGCCACCCAGTTAACTGACTACTTAAAAAAAAAAAAAAAGTCCCTATTGGTGTGCCTCTGAAATTCAAATTTAAGTAGGCACCTTGTATTTTTGTTTGCTAAATCTGGCAACCCTATTCAGCAGGTCCGTCTTCCTAAGAAAAAGCCTACTGGTGTCTGACTACTATTGCAGGGAAGATGATGGTTTGAGGACACGGGGTTTAGACTGCCCAGTAGGGGCCATTAAAGCTCTTACAGCCATGTAGGATGGAACTGAGGATGGGGTGATAAAAGAGAGGTGGGCTGCAGGCCAGAGACTTCTGCTTGTATTCTCTCTCTTTCTCTCTCATGAAGACACATTAGGGGCAGACCTACACCACGAAATGGTATCTTTAGGCATCAGCTGCCAATTGTTAAATATCTTACATGTATTTAAAGGAATTCCGAATTGCTTTAAAACACTGTTCAGACCAAACAAAGTCTACCTGCCCTTCCCTCTAGGGTATGATAATACCTGTTGTTGCTGTTGCTGGCAGCTGCTGGTACATCAGGTTCTGACTCATAGCAACCCTGTGCACAACAGAACAAAACACTGCCTGTCCTGTGTCACCCTCACACTCATTGCTGTGTTCCAGCCTATTATCACCGCCTCTGTGTCATTTCATCTGGTTGAGGGTTTTCCTCTTTATCACTAACCCTCTACTTGATGAAGCATAATGCCCTTCTCTAGAAACTGGTCCCTCCTGGTAATACATATGTCCAAGTACATGAGACAAAGTCTCAAATCCTCGCTTCTCGGGAGTATTCTGGCTGTACTTCTTCCAAGACAGATTTATGCATTCTTCTGACAGTCCAGTCAAGATTCTTCAACACCATAAGTCAAGGGCATCACTTTTCTTTGGTGTTTCTTATTCTTGTCACAGTGTTTGCATGCATATGAGGTGACTGAAACTACTATGGGTCAGGTGCACCTTAGTCATCAAAGTGACATCTTTGTTTTTCAACACTTTAATGAGGTCTTTTGCAAGCAAATGTGCCCAATGCAATACATCCTTTGATTTCTTGACTGCTGCTTACTCATGGGAACTGACTGTGAATCCAAATAAAATGAAATTCTTGGCAACTCCATTCTTTTCTCCATTTACCATGATGTTGCTTACTGGTTCAGGTGTGAGGATTTTTTGTTTTATTTATGCTATGATGTGATCCATACTTAGCTGTGGTCCTCTTCACTTTTAGTAGGCAGGTTTGTGTTACCTGCACAATCACTAATTGTCACAGCAATCACTAATTGCAGTGTTAGTGTTCTGCTTCCCAAGACCACACTTCTAACAAAGTCCTTTTAGATATGCAGCCATTGGGAGTGGTATATGAGAGCAATCACACTGCAGAACCAGTGTGTGAGAGAGCCAGGCATTTGGGGGAGGAATGTCACCGTTAAGAACAACTGATGCCACACTGATTGAACTCATAGTGACCCCCTATGTGACAGCAGAACTGCACTCCATAAGGTTTTCAAGGGCTAATATTTCAGAAGAAAATCACTAGGCTTTCATTGTAGGCACCTCACTGTGGACTCCAACCTTCAGTGTTTCGGTTAGCAGCCAAGCCCAGTAACCAAGCACACCTCCCTTTTTTGGTGTTAGCTGCCCTCGACTCAGCTCTGACACACGGCGACCTTACGTCCAACAGAATGTAATGTTGAGTCAGATCTGGTTCATAGCAACCCTGTGTACAACAGACAAACCACTGCCCAGTGCTTTGGCATCCTCACACTCACTGCTGTGTTTGATCGTGGGTATGTTTGAGTCCACTGTTGAGGCTATCCTGTCACCCATTTACTTGAGTGTTGCTCTTGTTTTCGTGCACCCTTTACCAAACATGATGCCTTTTCTAGCAAGTGATCCAACCTCCCTTGGCAGGTGGCTATTCTAACCTGGTAATGGTAGTTACGTGCCGTCAAGGTGGTTCTGACTCACATTGACCCTGTACAGGGTTTCTGAGGAGCAGCTAGTGGGTTTGAAGTGCTGACCTTGTAGTTAGCAGTCCAGTGCTTACCGAGCACCACCCAGGACTCTGACCTGACAATAATTAGCCCTGATATTTGCCTCTCCAGAAAAGTGGAAGAAATGAACAGAACAACAACCACAAAAAGTGTTGTGGTAGAATGAGCTGAGGTCACGGAAGAAGAACATGGAAGCCTAACAAGACGTCATGGAACTTTTACTCTTAAGTCCTCATTTTACAGGAAATGCAGTGTAGCTATACCCAGAGGACGGAAACCATTTTGTCCACATCTTAAGACTCAAGTCTTCCATTTCCTAGTCTAGTGTTCTTTCTACCCATCAGTTGACTTCATGTCTGCAAGAATGACTCCATAACATTATTCCTTTCCCACGGTTTGGGAGCAAAGAGAAACTTGCTGGAAATTTGTGCTTAAAAAAAAAAGGAAGAACAGAAGCAGTCTCCCTCTCTCATCTTCGCTATTTCCGTAAAGTAAGAAAAACAAACAAACAAAAAACCACTCTAAGAATATAAGGACATGCTCCAAACCACGAGGGTAACAGGAGCCTACAAACTGCTAGTTATATAGACACCCTTTGCTTGAGTCTAAGTGCTAAACATAGGACCAGAGAGCCCACTAGGTCCTTTGCCAACTCCCAGGGCTCAACTACCAGATAGTCCCCCATTTATCACAAAGTCCCCTGGTTGCAAAGGTCAAGCAATAAGACAGATTGTTGAGGCCCCAATGAAACTGACCTGAACTGGATAAAATATTGCCTGCAGGGTGGGGAGGGTCTCAGTGAAGAAGTGGTCCCAGACTTCAGCCAGAACCTCAATGCGATTTTCACCTACATGAGGGCGAGAAGAAGATGAGAAAGAAAAGAAAACGACTTGTCATTCCTTGCAGGAGAGGCTGAGAGTTTCATCTAAAATATAAAGTTGCATATGCCACACAGTTTGCAGCTGAGGGAGGAGGGACAAGAGGAGGTCTTCTAGGCTAAGACTGTGTATCCAAAGTCTCACAATGCTTCATGTCGAGATCTAAGCTCATACTACACTAGTAAGATTGTACAGGCGGGGAGGAGCTTGCTCATACTGTTAATTGATCTAAAAAGCATTACTTACAGGGTGATGGTTAATTTTATGTTGGCTAGGCCATGGTGCCCAGTTGTTTGGTCAAACACTAGTCTAGATGTTTCTAGAAAGGTATTCTGTAGATGTAGTTAACACATACAGTCAGTTAAAGTCCCATAGACGTAGGTGTTGTTGTGAAGTAGTGTCGAGTCACTCATAACAATGCTGTGTGGGGTTTCCAAGGAGCTGTTGGTAGGTTTGAACTGCCGATCTTGTGGTTAGCAGTCCAGTGCTTCTCCTACAACAGCACACCAGGGCTTTACACAGTGTGGTGGGATTCATTCAATTACACAGTGTGGTGGGATTCATTCAATTAGTTGAACAAAAACTGATTCCTCAGGGAAGGAGTTTTCAAATTATATCCTACCTGAATGTCTAGGCTGCCGTACAGATTTTGAACTTCCAGTCCCATAATCACCAACTAACCAACTAGTCTACTCATCCACCTATTTCTGTATACTTCAAAAAGTTCATGGAAACTTCCAGTATCTTTTCATTCCATCTTTCCATGGACTTTCTGAAGCCCCCTAGTATCTATAGATATAAAGCCAGTTAAGCCAATTCCAACAAGTAGTGACCCCATGTGTGCCCGAATAGAGCTGCATTCCACAGAGCTTTTAATGGCTGATTTTTAGGAAATAAACCACCAGGCCTTTCTTTCGAGGCACCTTTTGGTTAGCAGCCAGTACATTAACAGTTTGTACCAAAATGGTGTTCTCTCTCTTCCGCTCTCATTTCCTGCTGGCTCTGTTTCTTAGGAGACACCTGATTGACAATTACAGTAAGCATACAAGTAGGAAGAAAGACTCAACTGGAAATATGCAGACTGTCTTTCTATCCCCTAATCCAGAAAAAGTACTTGAAAATTAAAAAAATCACAATAATTGCTACAATCACATGAGCAGTTATATTTTCATGTACTTTGCTAAGCTAGTTGTCTATAAGATATTTTATAAAATAGGCTATTAGCTTCATTTTGAGCCCTAGTGTGGCACTGTAGGGTAAACACTGAACTAGTAACCTCAAGGTCAGCAGTTCAAACCCACCAGCCATTCTCTGAGAACCTATAGAGGTTTCTCTGAGTAGAAACCGAATCGATGGCACTTAATATCATCCCCATTTTACAGGTTCAGAGACGCTAAGTAATTGGCCCAATGTCACACAGCTAGAAGGCAGTGAGGGTTGGGATTTCATAACCCATCCAGGGAGCTCGTATGCACAGTTGCATATGTGGTTGTTGTCAAGTGCCATCAAGTTGATCCCAACTCATAGTGACCCTATAGGATTAGGACTGCCAAGGAGCAGCTGGTGAGTTTGAACTGCCAACCTTATGGTTCAAACCAACCTTGTGGTGGAATGCTTATCTTATAGCACCACACCAGGACTCTATGTTGTTGTTGTTATGTGCCGTGGAGTCGGTTACGACTCATAGCGACCCTCTATAGGATTTCTGAGGCTGTAAATCTTTACGGGAGCAGAAAGCCTCATCTTTCTCCCACGGAGTAGCTGGTAGTTTCGAACTGCTGACCTTGAGGCTCGCAGCCCAATTCGTAACCACTACACTACCAGAGCTCCTTGTGCTTTGTTTCTTAATCACTGCAACAATGGCTTCATTCTGGGTTTGAGCTGTCCATTGATGGTGAAGAGAAGACCTGGAAACTGTCACCTCCATCCACTGTTTTGCAGTCACCAAGAGGTCAGCATACTCCGAAAAGCTCAACCACAGAACACAAACTGCCTCCTGACATGTGCTCACTCACCCCTAGAATCAGGAAGCCTGACCTCTGGCCAAGAACCACTCCCAAGCATATGTACAGGGTCACCCAGTGCCCCTGGAAGGTTGTGCCAGAGACCTGGCGCTTGCAGGAGCCTGCACAGCAAGCGCTGTCTAATGACCTAGATAACAGGGCTGATTGGGCATCATCTTTGCTCTTCAGAGGCCACAAAACTGGGTCAGCCAAGATTAGACACTGGGCAATGCGTTTAGCAAAACACTGCCAGTTTCACTGAACAAATCTTGAAAGATTCATTTAGCATCTTCTGTCTATTAATTTAATGGGCAATAAAAACTGGCTGGAGGAAAAAAAAACAAGGGCTTGACTAGTAACTAGAAGGGCCAAAAACATGCAGCTGGGGAGAGGTCAGAGTGAAATGCACTGGGGAAAATGCAAATCCAGAGCCTTCTTAATACTCCTGGCAAAGCAGTAATCACACTTGGTTGGAATCACCTCCTCACTACTGTCTCCGCGGGAGTGGGAGAGAGCACCTGGGTTGTCAGGTGTGGTCACCGTTATATTCCTAGTGCTTAGCATATTGCCACACACATCAATTTTAAAGACCTTTGTTGAATGAATAAGTGACAAGTACCAAGTGAATAGGTTTCTGCAGATGCTAGGGCTGGTGAGTGGAAGGGAGCTCCCATTTAGTAGCCTATGCATGGGACAAGATGGAAGACGACACAGTAGCTTGAACATTTCCCTCTGCTCTTAGGATCCAGAAATTCTCTACAACAGACTCTTCCAGGCTGTGGGGACCATGACTCCTCCAACGTCTTCATCTTCTCCTGTATCTACCTACATTTTTGGCCTATTCACCATGTGGATTATATTCCTGCCATGCCACTCACTCTGCTTCCTCATGCCACAGGACATTTGCACATGCTAGTTCCTCTGCCTAGACTGCTCTTTGCCTCCCTTGGTTGCCTCGTCTGCTGCTGTGGATCTTTCTGATTTCTGCAGGAAAGTCTTCCCCACTAGGTCAAAATTCCGCTATTATAGACTTTGTTCTTAGTGCTTGTCCCAATTGTAGTTTGATATTTGGTAATGATTTGATTGACATCTGTCTCCAGTACCAGCATGTGAGCTCTACAAGGGTCTATCATCCTCAGATGGTTTTGGTTCCTGCTGTGTCTCCAGGTCTTAGCAAAGTACTGACACATAGTTGTTGTTGTTGTGTGCTGTGGAGTCAGTTCCGACTCATAGCAACCCTGTACAGGGTTTCTGAGGCTATAAATCTTTACAGGAGCAGAAAGCCTCATCTTTCTTAGCCGGAACAGCTGGTAGTTTTGAACTGCTGACCTTGCGGTTTGCAGCCCGATTCATAACCACTATGCTACCAATAAAGTTGAATCAATCAACCAATCACCATCTGCTTTTCAAATGGAGGCTATACTAGGCTCCTGCAGGATGGGGCCAGAGGAACCCAAAGGATGGCTCTCCTGCTTCCTAAAACGAAAAAGAAGCGCAATATCTGGACAGTATTCCCCAAAAGGAAAACAAAAAAAAAAAGAAAATACCTTTTCTTTTCAAAAGCTCCTTTTGTTGATAACTTTATCCTAAACTTTTTATAATGGAGGTTAGTGAGACCTTCCTGAAGGAGGCGACACAGTGGGTTATTATTAGCAGTGACTACCTGTACCCTGTTCCCCATCCAGAAGCAAAGTTCACCCGCACCTGAGGTCATCTTCACCCCAGCAGCGGTAAGGCGTCTCCTGGGAAGCTGGTCTAATTGCTGACTGCAAACTTCCAAGAGTAATAGAGGTTTTGGAAAGTGTTCATAGAATTCAGACAGACACAGGCTAATAAAACAGGTAGCTCTGGGGGCGAAAAGGAGTTAAAGGCAGGAGGTGACGTCACTTCAAGAACCAGCCACAAGTGAAGCATTTCGTTCCTACAAAGATGAAGGGGTTGAATAGCAGGTTCTAGAAGATGGCCCAATAAACACTGTCCTCTACTGGACCACAACAGTTTAGATCACCAGAGGTATAAGAATCTTCCTAAAAGGCAGGGTCAGTAATGTTCTAGAAAAAAGATCACTGAACATAACATGAATTCTCCAAGTCAGAAGAGAACAACAAATAGATGTAAGCTGCCACCAGTACCTTCTGCAGCAATATGGCAGGGACATCCATATATGCACACAAATGCAAAATAAAGGGATGCATGCCTACCAATAGAAGGCTGGAAAGTATCTGGTACCTTCAAACTTCATTTTATAGTAAGGGAAGCCTTTTTCCCACAAGGACTCTTGCTTGAAGTGCTAATACTTGAAGTGAAAAAGTAGAGCTGGTCTGGAGAAAATGCGAAAGCCCTTCACTTTCAGAAAGGGCGCTGAGTGACCCAGAGAGAAGAGCCTGTCCCGGCTTCTGTGGTCACTCCCTGGGTGAAGTTTGTTCGTCCTTCTGGTTCCGTCTGCGGGTTTTCACTCTGAGTCTATCTGTGTTGTTATCACTTAAGTGAGAGACACTCAGCTTCCTCTTTGAAGGGCACCTGAATTTTCAGTTTTACTCTGTATCTTTTTCATAAAGCTACTTTGCCACATTTCCAGAAGCAGTGAAACACTCCCCCATGACTTGAATACTTACACACACATTCTGTGACCAGGCACCACTGTAGTCTTCTTCCTTTACTAAGCAGTGAGGAGCCCTAGTGGCTCCACAGGTTAAGTACTGGGCTACACACTACAAGATCAGTGGTTTAAATCCACCATGGCACCCCGTGGGAAAAATATAAGGCTTTCTGCTCCCGTAAACATTCAGTCTTGGAAACCCAGTCCTGCTCTCTCCTACAGGGTCACTGTGAGTTGGAATTGACCCAGTGGGTTCTGGCAGTTCAACCAGGCAGCAGCTGTCTTCCACACTGTGTACTGACTTCACTGCAAAATGCAAAAGAGCCATTAATTCCTGGTCCAAACAGGCCACTTAAAAATAACACCATGGGGTAAGTGGTTATTTCTTCTTGTAGATGGCCTTTCAGTTGGTTCTAACCCACAGCAACCCTGTAGAGGGTTTCCTAGGAGCTGCTGGTGAGCTTGAACTACCTACACTGAGGTTCAAACCAACTTTGCATTCTAGCACATTAACCCACAGTGCCACACCAGGACTCCAAGTAGCTATTTATAAGATTGAAATTGTCACAGGATAGATATGTTGTTGTTGTTAAGTGCCACCAAATCAGTTCTGATCTATAGCAACCCTGTTTAGGGTTTCCGAGGAGCGGCTGGTTAGCTTGAACTGCGACCTTGCAATTCAAACTGACTTTGCAGTCAGCACATTAACCCACAGTGCCACCCCAGGACTCCCAGGATAGATATATTCTAGGGAAGTAAGGGGTCCAGCTAACTCTGAGATATTCAGAGGTTCATTTTCTAACATCCGGTCTTCCAGTGGTTTGGTGACCACTTCCTGTGTATCAGGCTCTCTAATAGTCAGCTTCTCCTTTTGCTTCCGACTAAGTCTTTCTAGGACCCTCTCACGAGACACCAACATTCCTTCTCTCAGGGAAATGGGAAGAAAAAGGGGAGGATATGAAGCCTAATTAGTTTAGGGGCTCCTGGTGTGGTACTGTAGGATGAGCACTAGACTGTAAACCACAAGGTTGATGGTTCAAACCCACCAGCCGCCCCTTGGAAAACCAATACAGGTCTCTATATGAGTCAGAACCTACTCGATGGCACTTACAACCACAAGAAGTTTAGGTCTTGAAGTAAGAGATCAGGAAGAGGTCAAAAGGCTCCAGAAAGAAAAAACAAAACAAAAACAAAGAAGGAACCAGTCTGCATAGCTGATACACGCCAGGCATAGTGCTACCCCAAGCAGGCACCTGGCCCGCCCTGCAACTCCTGGTTCCATTTTATTACTTAACTAAGGCTAAGAGAAGTTAATAAACGTGCCAAAAGCCATCCAACAAGCAGGTGGCATGCTAAGGTTGGGGCCCAGACTGGTGATAGCTCACAGAAGTTCCTAGCAAAAAAAATGGGGTAGGTGTGTCCTTGCCTTTGGTGCCATCTCAGTCTCCAGGGGACAAGCCAGGGGAAAAGCAACCCACAGTTTGACTGAATAAATCATTGCAGGCACCCTTGGAAAAGGGAACGGTGAGGCAGTGGGAAATCACACTGGTTTTCCATCTGTTTGCCTATCAAATCACATCCCATTAAGTGGGTGCTTGATTGATGTAGTGTCCCCCCAATGGATGATGACTCCTGTCCTTTATGAAGTATGATAAAGATGCACAGGAAAGATCCCCGGTGGCGTAGTGGTTAAGCACTCAACTGCTAAATGGTTGGTGGTTGCCTACCAGTCGCTCCTTGGGAGGAAAACATGGCAATCTGTTCCTGTGAAGACTAAAGCCTTGGAAACCCTAGCAGCAGCTAGGCTCTGTGCTATAAGGTTGCTGTGAATTGGAATCCATCCAATGGCAAACAACAAGGCTGTAAGTGTATAGCATCAGATCAGAGAGAGCAGCCGGACCGGACCTACAGTATCATTTAACTCCTTCAAGTGAAACCACCAGTTGTTGTTGTTGTTGTTAAGTGCTGTCCAGTCGGTTCCAACCCACAGCAACCCTGTACAGGGTTTCCGAGGCTGTTAATCTTTACAGGAGCAGAAAGCCTCATCTTTCTCCCACGGAACAGCTGGTAGTTTCGAACTGCTGACCTTAAGGTTCGCAGTCTGATTTGTAACCACTACGCTACCCATAAAGACCCCTCCCCCTTAAGAATATGGTCTCCCCAAAGAAGCCACCCCAATGCACTTTATCCTTCTAAACCCGGCTCCGACTTGCATGGCTGTGTCAAATGCCAGTGCTGTCACCTAGTTCAGAAGTGTACCAGATGACTCACTGACTTGGAGCCTGCCACTTAGAGGCAGAAGCATCCCAGCTGTCCAAACATCAAAGGCTGAGTCACAGAGGGCCTGTTCTATGACAGCTGACTTGTACTTGCCTTCACACAGCTTAATCTTCTCCTCCACAAAGAACAGTCCTTTTGCAAGAAGCTGGTTCTGTAGAAAGAGAACAAAGAATGTAAGAATTGGGCTGTTCCAGTGTGCAAGTGACTAACCATCTTCCCCTTCCAAAAGGCAAGGGAGAATTCCAGTCATCTGTGTGCCAGACTCATGCCTCCAAGTTTAAGAAGGCTTTTGTCCTCTCAGAAGGCCAACCTCTCAGGAGAAAACAGTGAGACATTCCTTAGCGAAAAAGGGAGACGAGTCATATGAAACTGCCACCCCATCCATCAAACCAGAAGGAAACCCAGGCCACAGTTTGGCTGAATTGACTAGTGCTGGCACCCAATATAATTCAAGCACTTCATGATCTCAACTCCAAAAGAGAACATTGAGGCAATGGGAAATGGTGCAGAACTAACAGATTTCTTTAAAAAGATAAATTTAGGGTTTCTCATACCAGCATGAAAGCGACTATGTGCACAATCTCTAGCACCAATGAGTGCATATGTGGGAAAGAAAAAAAAAAAAACCAAGTCCTTTTGCTATTATAAATAACAACTGCTGGTGTTCTTGGTAGTCCAGCAGCTTTATATGTGTCCTCTCATCTAATCAAACCCTCCCAATGGTCGATCACACCAGGTTGGTGATATTATCATTCTTTATTGGTTGTCAATTACAAACAAACCCAACTTTTCTCTTGTCCCACTCTCTACCAATAACACTGCCATCCCTCACCCCCACCTCCAAAACACGGTTACAAAGAATAGTGGCCACTTAGGAAATGATTTGGAACTTAGAGTTGGGCCCATTGTTACTTAATGCTTTCCCACTCCCAACCCTCCACATAAGCAGACTTATTGTTGTT